CATATTATTAAGTTTTTTTACAAACACATATATTATTTAATTTACAAATATTACATAACACAGAATTTTGATCTTTCGAGTGAACTAGCTTTTGACACAATTAGCGGAACTCTTTTTACATACCCCCTTGCCTAATCTCTTTGCTTTGGTGGTGATCGCGTACCGGTCGTAAAAGGTCGAAATTATTCGGTTGTTCATTGTCGCGTACTTTGTATGGAATAATAATGAGATCTTTTTTTTTTTCATTTTTTTGAATAGGGATGTTGTTTTTCACCTTGTTTTTATAAGTGCATTTCCCTTCCTTGAAACCATAAACATTTATAGATACTTCTTTATTATTTTGTTATTTTAGACAACAGCGTTGAGAAACTAATTTCTTTGAAATTGTATCGGTCTGTCATGTTTTCATAATGTGATACTCTGTGTGGGTTAGATGTAGTAACGTGCTTTGACAATAGATGTTAGTCTCGGGTAGCAATGTTTTCGCAGACGTCTTGAAAGCCCTGTTTTCGGTGGACGGGATTTTGTAGGTCTATTCAAGTTTCAGGGTATATTTGATAGCATTTTTGGCGACGAGTGTATTAAAAAGTTCAATTAATTGAGGATTGGTATCATCCAAGAAAGATTTGTAGTCCGATAATGGATTACAATTTTTTTTTAAAGTAAGCCTTACATAAACCTTTAAATCCTGTGCTGGTCAAAACGAATACGTCTCTTGTTACTGTAACTAAGCGGTAATGTTTCAATCGTTTATTAGTCGGGTTGTTATAAAAACATGGCATATAAAAATGTAATGATCTCGATATTTATATTGAAGGGGGGGGGCTGGAGAAACGTTTCTCCAGACCCCCGTAATTTTCTTGTTTTTCCTTCTAAACCAATGTCGTACAAATTTTGAAAATTGTCATACTAATTGTGTACTAATTATTTGATATAAAAAATTGTAAACATTATAATATTGTATATTACAATGTATACAATTTTTGACAACACCGTCCATACTGAGTGATGTTTTCCATTTAAAAATTGCACAATGCTGTTGGATGTCACCAAAAATAGTATTATTACTATTATACTATTATAAAATGTAATTAAGTTTTTTGTCAATACAATTAACAACTATTAGCAATTATTGTGATAGTTGATATGTATTACCATATTATTTACGGCGACCAGAGTTGGCAAAAAAATCCAAACCAAAAAAAAACCTAGTGGGTTTTATTTTGTTTAAATAGCAAGCAATTTTTTTGTATCTACCCAAAAACATTGCTTTTACAATCGGTTTATTAAGAATGCATACCATTAAAATCTTAACTGGATCGGGAATTTTATTAATAAATACACAGGTTAATGCCAACTCTAAAACTCTGACCATTGTTGATATTTTATTTTACTAATCAATTAATATTATTTTCAGTAATGGGTTAACTTTTTTTTTTAATTTTGAAAACTTATAAAACAAAATAGATAACATTTTTCAAGGATCATTTGCATATATATAATTGAAATCAAAATAATTTATCGGGTTAGTAAGAATTAACAAATGTTGGTTACTTGTGTTTTGTTTTTGGGCAGCTGAAATGTTACCAAGTTCCACTTATGTCGAATTACTTAATTATAAAACGTGTTTCAGTTCAATCAAACACAAATAGTCGTTACATAATAGTTCTGTTCTGCGTTTATTTTTATGGCATCTGATCTTTTTTCATTAAAACCATTTTTGAAACTTTAAGAAAATAATATTCTTTTTTTTCATGGTGAAGCGCTTTTTTTTTGTTGAGAAATGTTTTAACGATGATCGTTTTAAGTTAGTTAACTCATCATTGCGTTATTTAAAGGTTAATTAGATAGTGTACATTTAAAAAGATAATGGTATTTTTAACTGACTGTCTTTTACGACTTGTGACCCACCCCCCAAAATTTTTTATTGATTGAATAATTTCATGTTGTTGCTGGTAAAACAAACGCGTTAAGACGCTCCGTTGATGTAGTGAATGAAACGTGGCTCACCTTAATGTCATAATGTCAATCATATAGCAATACCAGAAAGTTGTGTGGTTATTTGCATCTTAGTGTGAAATGTAAGAAAGTCTATCACGTGAGAGATTACTCAAAAGTCTAAGACAGTAAATATAAAAATACAATTCAAACACAAATTTATTTTTTATTATAATATTAAAAAAAAACAATCTTTTTTTGTCGTAATTTTGTATAAATTACGTACATTTTGTAAATATGAAAAAAAAATGATTCTTCTAAATATAAATATGACAAACAATTTATGTAACATAAATAATAATAATAATAACTTCTATAAAAAACACAAAAATACAATTAAAACACATTTGTTTTCTATTATGATATTAAAAAAAACATCACCTTATTACCTTGCTCGAACATAAGTAGCATGTCATAGGCTAATATCATTTCCAACTTAACTTCAGTATGTTTCAAGCAAACATCAAAACTCATACCAGGGATAGTGTAGTAGTGGCAACAATCGATTTCATACGCTTTTATACAAAGCTCACTAAAAGCTTTAAAAACATCACATAAAATATGCACATCCAATTCGTTATACCTGAAAAGTATAAATAATTATCAGACTAAGATAGAATTCTATTAAATATATTACATACCATAAGCTGTATTCGCCTAAAGTTTTGAATTTAAAACGATTCCATACAAAATTAGTTTTCCAACACTGTTGTCTAAAATAACAAGATAATAAATTCTACTCCCACCAAAAGCGTATATGCAGTTTGAGAATTATGGTAACACACAAAAACACGATTTTGTGATATATGCAGATTTCAAGTGTTTGTTGAAGAAACCAGTTGCAGATAGTCAATTTGGGAAAACTACTGTTACTCAAGACCACATACCCATGAGTTCCGTGTACCTTGAAAGAGTTGATAGATCGATTTGACATACCTCAAACTCCATTTGTTTACAGCGGTAATAAAAAAAGCGAAATAAATGATGTACCAAGACATTTTAATCAAAGCATTACCGATGTATCACGTAAAATTATTTATTCATACAAAAAACAACAATAATATCATTGGCGTTGCCCGACATTAGCTTTTCAATTCGGTTTAAAAATGGTTAGGCATATTTTACATTTATATGGTTTTTCGCCCGTGTGTATCATACAAAATAGTGTTTTCGTCTTTCCGACAACGAAATAATTGTTGAATCAATGTATAACATTTCTCTTTACATTGTGTATTCCAAAGAACTTGTTTTCCAGGTCCTACACTGTGCGTTTCTGTTATGTGTTTTAAGCGATTTAAGAACAAATCGGAGTCCGCGCCAAATCGTATGGATGTATTCAAGTCGGTAAAGAACACATAAAGGCTAAAGGCTAAAGCTTTTATTTTAATCAAAGTATTACCGATGTATCACGTAAAATTGAGCAGCTCTTAAAAACCAACACCCCTATACGTATGACAACACAGAACAATAGTAACTATAAGACTGTCGTGGACGGCGGCGAATGTCTACTTTGTAATTCTAAATTTTCATTAATTAATTCTCTGGTACGCGATCACCACCAAAGCAAAGAGGTCAGGCAAGGGGGATGTAAAAAGATTAGAATTGGGGTAACACAAAAACTCGATTTTGTTATTTATGCCGATTTCGAGTGTTTGATAAAGAAACCTGTTGAAGATAATCATTTTTGGAAAACGACCATCACTCAAGAACATGTTCCCATGAGTTATGCATATCTAGTTAAACCTAGCGAGAATGTGTCAATAGGTTCGGCAATAACAATTTATATTGATATAGTTTTTACAAGTGAAACGTTAGGATAGGTTAGGTTAAAATTTAGTTAATATATATACATCGTATTTCTAATCGTTTGAATATATACAGTATTATTATGATATTATTACAACTTGAATAAATTATTAGTTAATCCATTATTTAAATGTATAAATATTTTTATATTAATAAGATAGAATTTTGCTAAGTAAATTACAACTTTTAAATATCTTATTATTTATATAAAAATCATCTAACTAACCTCCACGTCCGATTTTATACAATTTATTTTAAATCTGAAATTATTTTTAAACGACAAATTATTAGCCTTTTCGCCTTTTTTTCCGAGTATTTTGCCTAGATGATCTATACTTAGAATAGAGGAGTTATATACACAGCTAATTTTAAATCATTAGTCATTTGTTCCATAGTTAAACTGACGATGTTACTTAAAATGGATTGTTTATTGATTGGTGGATGTATAATCGACCGCCCGGATATCTATAAGACGGGTTGGGTTGGATTATTAGCGTGGTTCAATTTCAATATGTTAAAAGATTCTTGAGATAAAATGGACTGTATGGTATGTAGATAAAGAGACGGTACTGAACAATAAATAGATACGTAGAAATGAGTATTTTTTAAGGGGGGGGGGAATTTTTTATTCTATCCGTATGCACTTTTATGTTGGACGTTATTTAAGATTACTAAAAAAAACTAAGAAGAATAGATTTGTTTTAAATTAAATTTTATTTGTAATACACGTTTATAATAATTAATAATAATGTTCGTAATTTTATTAATAATGAACTATTAAATAATATGTTGTTTGTTAAAAATATTAAAAGGACGAAATTTGTTTTTACAAAACTTATACTTAGTATTCTAATGGCTTTTGAAAAAAAATATCACTACTTGCATTCTTGTAATACCCATCCCACGCCACTGGTCAAAGTGGTGTCGAGATATTGATGACGAAATTCCAGATAGACCCTTAACTTTAAGATATATTCAAGTAAACAGGATAATTAGGGAAAGAGTTAAAATCAGTGGATGGCTTTGGAAGCTTATTTTGAAGAGCATTTATTCTCATTTGCCGATTGTTGTTTGAACCCCTTAATCAGAACAAGCCTGAAAATAGTGTCTTTTGTCAGCATATAAAATGTACGTCGAATTTATAATATGAATTTAGTTAGTACAGTTACGCAATTGATTCTATGCCACGGAGTTTGTTATTTGTTTCTAGCGTTTTTTCGCATCCTAGCCTTGGCCGCCGCGTTCATGGCAGGCGAGGCATTGGCGTTCAACGGACGCCGTCGCGGCGGTTGCGACGCACAAGCATCGTTCTGGTGCGACGGGACCGCCTCTACACAGTCGTTCTGCCGACGCCGGCACGGCGAGGGCGACGGCGGCGGCACGCACTGTTGTTCCAGCGGTTCTTCCAGCTCGGCGACGCCGAACAATCTTTTCCTGAAGCTGCGGATTTCCCGCATTATGTTTCGCTCGAGCAACGGGTCGACTTCGTGCTCGATGGCCGGCGCTCTAGACCAGTACTTGCACAGCTCGATCATGATGTGGTCGAGCAGCTCGTGGTCGACTTCGTGTTGCGCCAGGTTGAGCGCGGCGAACGAACCGCGCATCCGACGCCGCATCTCCACCCAATCGGGGTCGTCGTCCGGATCGGCCATCGCTATCTCGGCCATCTCTTTTTCCAGGCGACACCTCTCGGCCACCGCCTCTTCGTCCTCGTAATCAGCTTTCGGATTCACGTCCGTCTTTTTCACGTTAATCAACTCATTGGCTTCGTTTATTGCTGCGCACATGTCGATCGCCTGCAACAAGAAGGTACACCGGCTTTTAAAAACGTGTAGATCTAAGGTTTATAGGTAAGCGCCAGGCAGACCTCTGCGTTCGGTCATTGCCTAACGTTATTCGTTATTTAAATCTCACTTTATCAATGTTTTCCTCCACTTCAGCTTCGCATTGGCCAGCGGCCATCAGCTGCCGTTTTCGTTCTTCTCTTTTCTTGTCGAACGCCGATCTGTGTCGAAGTATCTCCGCCCACACGGTCACTCGGACTTCCTCGTCGCCGGCCAGCCATTCGTCTTTGTACTGCCAGTAGTCGCATGTGTGGTTACACTGGTAGTACAGCAGACTCCACTCTCTGATCAACGTGGGGAACCAAGCTTCGTCGTAGTATTCGCCCAACGCGCGGAACAAGCCGGAACACACCGGCTTCGTTGTCTGCCACTCGGTGGTGCACTCGAAGCCCGGCGGCGGCCGTTCCACTTCGTCCGGGGACGCCGGCGGGTAGATAAGCCGCTTTCTAAGCCTCTGACACTTTCCTGTTCCTTCATACTCCCAGACCTCACGTGGCGGCTTCTGCGCTTTCCTGCAACGCTGCGGCGGTATCCGTCCGGCTGACAGTTTAGGATTGAGCGGCAGCAGGTGTACGTTGCTCCTCGCCTCTTCGCAATTGTTCCAAGCCATTTCGATTGACAATTTTAAAAAACCACGTGTTCACTGTTAAATAAAACAAATTTCTATTTAAATTTTAATTAAAATTTTAAGAAGGGTTGTTATAATCATAGATAATTAATACTATAGGCAATAATATGATAACGGTTATTATAATAAAGCAAAGACTCGTTGAGCATTTTAAGCCAGAATTATTTAGTCGTTATTTATACTTTTGTTGTCTGGCATTATTTAAAAAAGAAATTATTTTTATTAAAACATAGATATTGAGTGTTAAAAGTATTTAATGGTAACTACTAAAATGTTATTGTTACGCCATCGGGTTACATAAAATCTGCATTGAACAAAATATTAAAATCAACACATCAAATTTGACGTGGTGCGGTTTTTTAACCCACGCACTGGTCGAACGGAGGGGTTTCGAAAGAAACAATACTAAATGTTGAAATAAAATCAGTTCACAAAGCAAACGTAATGATACTATGACCCTATACTGCCAATACACGGTTACTTGTTATTACTTAAACAAATACAATTTATTATTTTAATTCTGGTCCCATTACCAGTTGGAATAAAATCGTTATTCAGAAGCATATCAAATAACATAAGGGTTGAATAAGTGTAACAAATAAAATGTTTAATATCAATATGTGTACACATATGAGTAAAAACGACGACGACTCCCAATAACAATAATTAAATACTCGGTGTACACGAAATACAAAATATGCTTTCTAAAAATTCTACTGACCTATATTAACTACATAATATAATATAGTGTTTGGTTTATAATTTCAACAATAAGCAATTTAATTAATATTTATATTATTACTAAAAATATTATATAGACAAATTAATAAGTTAGTGGTAATAACCAAAAGTTTAGAAAATTGATTTTTCGGCGGAATAAACGAACGTGTTGTCGCGGAAACAGAGAGCTTGCGGTATTGACTGTCAACTGCCGGTAGTCAACCATCGCCCGAAGTTAAAATCGACCGGTGACAAGAGAGTACAGCGGGTGCCTCAACATGTGTAGCATGTCGAGGGGACCTCGTCAAATTCATATTATATACACGTATTAACACACTTAAATACATCAAAATAATAAGTACAAATGTTTACGTAAGTATATTATCGATGTTGAAAGTGTGCCAGTTTGGTAAAAAAAGAAAATATTTCTTTTTACTACTTGAACTGTTAAATGGTGTATTGTTATATTGAAATAAGCTGAATATTTCTTTGATTATTTCAACCAAATGGTTATTTATTGGTTCTTAATTATATTAGGCGATTAAATTTTAGACGTATACAAACATTTTAATTATATTGTCTTATATGTAAATTATAAGTACCACTTCAATTTTTAAAAATAATACGAGACAAGTCGGTCCAAAACATTTGAGTGAACGCGCCGAAGTATATTTTCGTCAATTAATGAAATTTCTGCTTTAATTGTATCCTGAAGGTCATCCAAGGTGCGAGGTTTTGATTCATAAACGCGTTACTTAAGGTATCCCCAAAGGAAAAAGTCGCCAACCGTCAAGTAAGATCACTTATGAGACATCTTACGTACGACATTCATTGTGGCGGTGGCAGTGTGAGGAGAAGCCCTATCTTGTTGAAACCAAACATCCAACGGATTGATGGTTCGCCTTCTTCTGCGCAACTCTGGTTTTAAGAAGTTATTAAGCATATCTATGTAACGGACAGTATTGACAGGCACAGTGTTTCCTTGTTCCTCATAAATATAGGGACCGATGATTGGCTTCTTTGTAACTGTACACCAAAAAGTTACTTTGGGGCTGTGCAGCGATCGTTCGTGGAGGTTTTGAGGATTTTCAAAATCATAATAGCGAAGGTTTTCAATTCTTCTTTCATTGACTGACTAACTTTCTCAATACAACTCATAACAAGTTTTTGCACACATTACACCTATTTTTAGGTAATCCTACAGATACCAAATTTTTGAACAATGGATTGTGGACAATACGTATTGGCTGCATTTTTTGTGACAAATTGTCAAATATACTTATCAAGAGTTTATTAAGTTACAATAAAATCTTTTCTTGATCTCCAACTATCCGAAGTTATCTGTTTTTTACACCTATTTCTGATTTATCGCCTCCGAAAGTAGATCCAGAACGTTTAGTTGTAGTTTTTTATTACAAACTTCAATACAATCATCATATTTATAGGAATGCAATCGCTACAAAATAAAAAATATATATGTTTCATGTTAGGCACATGTATTTAATTTTGTTTAATCCCTTATTCCAACAATTTTTTTAAATTCATTACTCAATAATATGTATTAACAATTATTATATAAAATTGCAACGTCCGTTCTTTCAACGCTCGTGTGACCTCGGCCTTATAGGTGTGTACCAAGTTACGGGGTCCTAGGACCAAAATTGGGGGTGTGACACTTAAGTCCCTTGGAAGGGATCGTAGACCCCTGGAGTGATGGCGTACCAGTTAGGGTACTCCGAAACAAAATAGTCGATTTTTATACCAAGTCTCTAAGAGCGTTTGCCACGGAGTTATGACGTTTACAAAAATTCAAAATTTGGGGGAGGGGAAAGGTCACTTTCAATATGTTAGGCGCCTAGGTGCCCCTATAAGGTGGCCGCGGGCCTGGAGTCTCTAGGTTCAAGACAAATATGCTAGCGCGGTTTTAGTCCTCCGGGGGGTGGGGTAAGGAAGAAAAATCTTCAGAGCCCGAGAACGGACTTCTGCTACACCCTGTATCACCAGGTGTGATTGAACACCCGGTATAATCGTAAGTTAAATTTAAATAAAATATGCCTTGAACCATAAACCAACGACAACCTAGTTTTTTATGTAGTTTTTGTTTTGTATGTATGGTATACTTTCTAAATATATTTCTTGATTTTTCTAGTTAAAGAGTACGCGGTTCTTAAATACTACTTGCTATGTTTAATAGATGATTACCGCATTTAGTCGATTTCGAGCTGTATAATAAGGTTCATCTATGTTAAAAATTGCAGTTTAAGTGTCCTGCAAAATTGATCACGGGCTATAAACAGTATTTCGTTATATTGTACGGATATATTGCTGTATATCAAATGTTAACATTTTTATAATTAAATTTCTCTAGCCTTAGTAAAAAATAATTTTAAATTATTGCAAATAACTTCTGTATGCCTGGCTGTTTATTTTATTTTATCACACACTTTTAAAAAATAAATATAAGCAGTCACAAAAATATAACGTATATTCAAATTTCAAAACAACAAAGACGAAAAAAGGGTTTATTAAAGTGTCAGTACACTTAGTAAACTAATTATCATTTTTTTAAAATGTTTTCCCTCTTTTGTTTAAGGTAAATCTCTCTTTTTAAAGCGGCTTGATTCATTCGAATACCTCCCCTCCTCTTGTTTGGAGGTTGATTTATTTGTGTATCATTGTTCACATTTGCTGCAACCAACTGAGTGAGGTCAGTTGTATTAATGTAACGTTCAGTACGGTTTTCTTCGCAACAATTACCACCACTAACGTCAACATTAGTTGTGTCTGTCCATAAATCTTCACGGGGCTTACTCACATTTGGAGTTGTATCAATCACACCGACATTTAGATCACTTACCGAATTTGTTAATGTACTGCGTTGGGCAATGAAAAAACAAACTGTTTTATAAAAATATACATACAGTTAGTCGCTAGAAATAGTGGTTATCTAACCTTATCTCGGTTACTTCAGCAGCAGACGTGACGTTGTTGTCTTGATTTAGTTCCGAAATATCGTCATTATCATCATTCGAATTAATAATACTTGCCAGAGTTCTCTCTGCTAATTGTACATCACAAGATGCTTCAGTACCAGTGGTTTTACGAAGCTGAGCAATAGTCATAACCGGTTCGACACGAGTAGAATAAATCTCTACTGTTTTCTTAGCATCACATGTTTTGATCGAACAACCGATACTCTTTTGATTACAATTATTTGTTGTTTGAGATTTATGTGTATTGGATTTCTTAAAAACACGTTCTGGTATCGGAGGCTTAGCACCTTCTCTAACATTTTTGAACAGACTTTTTACCGTGCACATGGTTTGATTCACGTTGAACACTTTGTATCGTTTTACAGGCTGTGGTAGTCGACATTTTGATATCGACTGACCGGTGCGTGGGTCTTTCAAAGACCGAAAATATGTTAGCTGCAAGCACAAAATACTTTTCAATTCGTGTGGTGTATATAGTGCATTAAAATTATGCAATAATGATATAAAACTGATATATTCAACACACACGCGTCTTGTACTAAATTAAAATTCATACAATTGGAAAAATGTAGAAATCGATTATATATGAAGGGCACAAGGGAAAAACAGAAGTAGCCACATTATGAAAATTTTAGAGTATAGCAAAAGCAAAGTTCGTGATCACATGCTATTCTAATAATACATTTCTTAATTTAAACAATCTATTAGCATAAATAAAAATTATTAGTGGTAGTTTAAGTACATTTAATTTTAAAAATAACATAATTTACTATATTCGGTGTTATCTAATAAAATAGTTGATGTTGTACATCGAAAACCAAATTGATTAAAAACAAAAAGTAGTTTTGCAATGTTTTCAAATCGAATAAGCTTAAAGTTTTTTTTAACTTACATGTCCCAAGCTTATTGGGCACTATAAGATAAAAGCTGCTATAAGTTCCAACCAATCGAATTCCTTTTAACCGTTCTACTAAGTTCTACAGAAATGAACCGAGAAAAAAGGATTCAGTTCTTTATGTCTCATTTATTATAAAAAAATTAAACCCACGAGGGTGGGTGGTTAAATCTCCAAATTATCTTATTGGGTTACTGTTAACTGTAGTGTCATTTATAGTTTAACTGACTTGTTTCTCACTGATCGGCACTGGTTTCGATGAAATTAACCACAACGCGGGATTTGAAGGGTCATTTTCTTTAGCACCCCAGTACATCATGAATTTTTTAAAATCGCCATCGAATAGGTCACTTAACGGAAATGAGTTCACTTCT